TCTGTTCTTAGACGATTTATATTATGGAAAATTGACAACCTATTTTTATTTATTTGCACTCGGTGCAGCAAAAATGTGCCATAACCTGTCGTAAAGAAGAACTATTTCAGTTTTGTACATTTTATATTTCTCTTCTACTGTTTGCAGCAGGAAGATGTTTTTTTTTTTTGTTCTTGAAGGATTTTTGCACCATGTACCAGATATCATTGATATTTTTTAATCTTAACCCTTTCAGGGACCTAGGCCCAATTCTGGAGTCACGCACCTAGGGTCCAAGAATTTTTCAAAAAAAATATGTTATTTTTTCTTATGAAATCGTTTTAGTAGTTTAGGAGAATCTTTTTGTGAAGGTAATAAAACAAAAAAGTACGAAAATTGGTTGGGAAAAAATTGAACGCTTTATGTCTCGCGAAGTTTGTATGTGTCAACGATATTTACGAATTGGCGATTTTAGCCGGACTTTGACTCCATTTTTAGGGCCAATTACATGATTCCAACTCAACAATTCTGAGCTTTTTCACTAGTCTTCTTCTATTCTATCGATTTTGAGCACAAGAAATCGCTAGTCAACTGTTTCAACTACAAAATTAAAAGTGATCGGGGAAATTGTTTAATTTGGCCATTTTAACACAAAGTTCAAAAATTATTTCCAATTTCCAAAATAGGGTCCAGAATGAACATGTAGGCATTCCGGCACTAAACTAACATTTCCTCTGTTCATTAGTTATGTTTTTGAGGCTTTATACAAATAAATTTATTTGATTTTTATTTCACATTAATGGAATTTTGATTCTCACCAAAAAAAAAAAGATTTACTGTTTTATGCAATACTGTATAATTGTATTATTATCATCACCATATTTGTTGATGTATATTTGACCCACCAGCTGATGTGTATTAGACGTGTGAGGGTTTGTTTACTCTTGAATATCGGCAAAAATTTAACATTTTCTGATACTTTGAGCTCTGTTTCAAGCCATCTTTCCAGTGCTAAAAAAAAACTCAATCAGCAAAATCAATCTCTATTTCTGTAATATGTCTTCCATTCTATCATTGTGACAAAGGAATCGCAATACAACTATAAAAAACATACGAAAAAAACACTGCAAAGAGTTGCTGTTTTTTTAATCGAAAAAATCATGATTTTATTTTTTTTCTCTCATTATAACAGTGTGCTGCGGATTGTTTTATGTGTGGTGCAACACATACCACATAGATGTATTCTCTAGTCTAGGCCCAAATTGTACACCACTCACAGTTATATCAGAGTGAGCTGAAGCTCATGGCGTCGTTCTACGGTTTTGGACCCTGAACGTAATTTTAAAGCCGGTAGATCTACAGGGACGGACCTGAAAGGGTTTTTTAAAAGGAAACTCAAGCGTTTCTAGGAGGTATTATAACTTTAAAAAAAAACATTATTTGTTACTGCCATAAGAAATAAAATTGTATTGTGTAGTTTTTTTTTTAACTTTAGTACTGTTTTATGTCCACTCGAAGGTTAAAGTTTTTTCTTTTATAAATACAATATTCTACAATATTTTTGTCATCTGTTTTTATTTCATTGATCTTTATCCATCGCATTTTATCATTCAATTGTTAATTTGCTTTGTGCAGTTTTGGTAAAAGGTTTGGTTCTGACATTCTAATACACATACATATATTTGCCTTTTTAATACATTGGTTTTTCTGGTTTTTTTTTTCTTTTTATCTTGGTTCTTTATACATATTCATTTTCTGGTGTATATTTGAATGGACAATTAGTTTGTGGGTTATGGCATTTTATGTTTTAGTTCCAAATTTTCTTTCCATGGTTTTCCTGCTTTGCTTTTTATGCTGTATAAAATACATTCATTAGGGCCCCACTTTTGGCATTTTGCTTTATGGCCCATTTCCACTAATATGTAAGTTCTATTGATGACCTAAATCTCTATACGGCTCCACTACCTGACTTTCTAATACGTTCCAGCACCCCACCCTGTTTTTTAGATTCTCCATGAGGCTCCGTAAGCTCCAAGTCTCTCCCATTGTGTCTGGGATAATTTCAAGTGTTTTTAAAAATTATTTCTGTTTTTTTTTTTTTTTCAACAAACCAGCCTTATCCCACCCAAGGGTGCGGTGGCCCCAAAAAGAAAAACAAAAGTTTCTCTTTTTAATTTAGTTATATTATACAGGAGAAGGTTTATAGCCTTTGCTCCTGGACATTTCACTTGCATTTACAACACGATGGCTTAGGAAGAAGAATTCTGTTCCACTTCCCCATGGAGGATAACAGGAATTTTTTTAAAAACAAGGAACAGGAACTAGAAAGAAAATAGAAGTAAACCCAGAGGGGTATGTTTGTATATACGTATATGCTTGTTCACATGTATGTGTAGTATGACCTAAGTATAAGTTGAAGTAGCAGCAAGATGTAACTGAAATCTGCATGTTATGAGACAGAAAAAAGACACCAGCCAATCCTACCATCATGTAAAACAATTACAGGTTTCCATTTACACTCACTTGGCAGAGACACAGTAGTACCTCCCTGGGCAGTTGCTGTCTACAACCTACTCCTAGAATTTTATATATTACACTGTTGTACTCTGTTAATTATACTTATGTATACCTGTACCTAAAATAGAACATACACCACTGTGCTAGCATGCAGGGTATGCATTTAAATTAAAATCATAAGTGTGGTCTTGTATCCTCGAGATGCCATATTATTAGTAATGATAATAATACTCCAATAATAATATTGACTGTCTCTTTAAAATGTTGTATTTTACGTTCTACAGTGGACCTCCGCCTTAACGAATATTTAATCGTTCCTGAGAGCTCATCGTAAGGCCGAAAATTATCGTATAAGGCGAATTAATTTTCCCCTAAGAAATTAATGGAAATCAAATTTATCCTTGCCAAGACACCCCCAAAGTATGAAAAAAAAAATTACCACATGAATATATTTAAAATACACACAAAATGAAGGAAGTCAGCACCAATTACTACTCTACTAAGAAAAGAATAATGAAACTTACCTTTATTGAAGATCTGATGATGATTGATGGGATGAGAGGAGGGGAGAGAAAGTGTGGATGTTATTGTTTAGAAGGGGAATCCCCTTCCATTAGGATTTGGAGGGGTAAGCAGGCAATGTCCCCTTTTCTGGGGTTACTTCCTTTCTTTTAATGCCACTAGGACAGCTTGAGAGTCAACTGGACTCTGTCGCACAACAAATCTATCCATAGTGGTCAGTATACCTCCTGTTCCTTAAGGATTTGCTAAAATGGGCCATAAACATTGTCATTGTACAGGTTGCAAACACGTTGCAGGTTCCTCGGTCAGGGTCTTTTTCCATCCATATAAAGGTTTGCAGTTCAACCCACTTTGCACACATTTCCCTCCATCTTGGAAGTAGGCACAAGGATTCCACAAATGGCATTAGGCTTCTCAGGGGGTTAGCCCCAAACCCTTCAAAATCTTTCTTAATTTCCATACTAAATTCTCACCCTTTTTACACAGGGTTGGCACTAGAAGCTTTCTTGGGGCCCATGGTGACTTATTTTGCAGTTACAAGCCAAAAAACACTGGGATAAGGTGAAATGTATGAATGTTATGCGTTTGGAGTGGATTGTGACAGCTACTGGCTGGCTTGTAAACACTGGCGCTGAGGCCACACATGAGGACGCGTCCCGGACGCAATCGGCGGTGGCGGAGGCAAAATTTTTGCATTCAACTGTAGCGTAAGGGCAGCTTTAACGTAACACCGATGCCATTGTAAGGCGGGGGTCCCTGTATACCATTTTCGTTAATCTAGACTTTTTCAAAATTATATAATTTACATGATATATAACATATAGGATTGATAAATACCTCACAGTTAGAATAAATAAACAAAAATATGGGATGTGGGAGCCAGGACAACTTTAATACGAGTGACGCCATATTAGTAATGATAATAATATTCACCGAGTCTTATTTATTAAATGTAGTTATTACTTTATTCATAAACATTTTTATTATCCAGCTATGTATTTTTTTTAAAAGTTATCTATCAAACACGTTACATAACATATAAAGAGATAATATACACCCACAGTAGATAAATAAAAATAAATATGATATGTGCGGAGCCAGACAACTTGATACAAGCGTTGGCAAGAATACGTTTTTATAGGTCCAACATAAGAGGAAAATATGGTAATGGGGGTACTGTAGAAAATTAATCTTTTTCGTATTGCCTGCACTCAAGAGCGGTCATTTCCTTCTAAAATATGGTGTTACATGAGGGAAAGGGGGTGTTCCTCTTTATTTATTCTACCGTATCAATGTAGAGACAACTTGTACACAATGTAACTTGTACACAAACCAAACGTGTACACTTTGTTTACATAACTCACGTTCGCCTAGTTTGTTTACGTAACTCCACAAGTGTCTCTCTCGTTGTTACTCATTCTCTCTCTCTCCATTTATTTGTTTTATCTCGTTTACTCACCTCTGACCCTACATCAAGACTACAAATATTTTAAGGTAACTAATGAGTGTACTGTATGTGTATTTTGCTTTTTTATTGTTTTTTAATGCCTAAGTCTACTGTAACCCAATGTAAATAAAATAAGTCACTTCTCTTGACTTTTTTGGGTCATCCAGGTACTTTAACATATGCTGCTATGTATGATAATCATTTAACTGCATTTGTGTATATTTTTTTCTGATAAACTATCTTATACTTAATATTTGTTAGTGTAAACTTGTTATATTGTAATGTATTTGTATTGCATTTTATAAGGTTGGAAAAAAAATAATAAAGTCTCTAAGAGGTATTCAACTTTACTGCGATTTCCACTTTACGAGGTAGCCTGGAAACCTGCCATTATAAATGGGCGTTACTTTTACTGTCACTACGATATAAACATACTACATTACCCGAATTCTTGTTGGTTTTACTGCATTTGTACGTAGTGTACTTAATCAGTGTTTATGTTTTAGCTCTTGTGTGACACCGGTTTTGGTTAGAGCAACACCTGGCCATTTGTAATGCTCGGGAGAAGACCGGTTTGTCGTATATGAGTCGCAACATCAACCTCAGACCTGGTGACCAGGAGGAACCTCCAAAAACTTCATTATCTTCATTATCGGACCCAGCAGCTCTTGTCTCCTTCATAACACGAGTTGAAGCAGCGCACAGAGGTACATTCTTTTTTACTGCCTATTATGAAAATAATCTTAAAATAAAGCTTAGAAGGAAAGAATTAAAAAAGTTTGTGTAACAAAAAGAGACCTTTAGTATAGAGTTTTTTCCTCATGATACTTTATTCAAGGACACAAAATTAGCATACATGCACTTAGACAACACTTAAACTCTGATATATCCTCCCCTCAAACATTCCTTGCAACCTCAACAGAAACACATGACCATAACTCAAGGCACAGATCACTCTTTGATGTTCCTCTTGTCATATCATGGTTGCTAAAACTTGATGACATAAAAAGGCCCTAAAAATCTGGAATTCAGTACCTGTAAATATAAAGAAAAAACTACCTGTTTATAAATTCAAGTCTCTTCTCAAAGTCACTTACTCACCAAAACCAAATAAATACTGAAATAACTGAACCGTATAAATTGTATATCTTAATTGTTTATCATAATTATATCACATAAATGTTAAACCTAAGACCCAGTCTAACTTTGTTATTTTTAAATACACTAACCTAAAACAGAATACAGGTCCCCATCACAAATCGGCAATCAGTTATTCGGTTTCCTTTCAGTTATTCAGCACTAATTTTGGCTATGCCATAATTTCAAATTTCCAGGGTTCGCCACACCAACTGCTGGTACTGTTTGGTGGCCGCCTACTTGCTGCAATAAGCCATTCCAATTTCTTTTTTCTACATTTATTGTTTTAACCTGCTTACTTTTAGTCCTAGCATGGTTCAATGGAATAAAAAGAAAAATTGCTTCTCTTATGTAAAGGACCTACACAGTACATTATCCATTAAAGATAAGGTGGATTTGAAGCACTGCCGGTTTGCCATGAGCTCAGTCTCATGAGCTGGAGGAATATGCTCTTTATTATTATTTTTTTTATTTATCACATGGCCGATTCCCACCAAGGCAGGGTGGCCACCAGCCAGGGTGGCCCACAAGGAAAGGGGTGGCCCACAAAGGGCAGGGTGGCCCACAAAGGCAGGGTGGCCCACCATGGCAGGGTGGCCCACAATGCAGGGTTGCCCGAAAAAGAAAGTATTTCCACATCATTCACATCCATCACTGTCTTGCAGATGGGTGCTTTTACACTTACAGTTTTTTAAACTTGCAACATTAAATCACCCTCCTTCAGAGTGCAGGCACTGTACTCCCATCTCAGGACTCATGTCTGCCTGCCGGTTTCCTGTATCCCTTCATAATTGTTACTTTGCTCACATCCCAACAGCACGTCAAGTACTTAAAAACCTTTTGTCTCCAGTCACTCCTATCAAACACGTCACGCATGCCTGTGGAAGCAAGCCCCTCGCACACAAAACCTCCTTTACCCCCTCACTCCAACCTTTCCTAGGCCGACCCCTACCCGCCTGCCTTCATACAGACGGATTACACTCTTGAAGTCATTCTGTTTCGCTCCATGTCTCTTAAATGTCCGAACCACTCAGCAACCCGTCCTCAGCCCTCTGGACAATCAGTTTTGGTAATCCCGCACCTCCTCCTAATTCCAACCTACGAATTTCTCTGCATTATATTACCCCACACATTGCCTCAGACATGACATCGTCCACTGCCTCCAGACTTTCCTCGCGGCAACATTCATCACCCTCGCTTCACACCATATAAGAGCGTTGGTTTTAAAAACTATATCTCTTACATCTCTCATTGCCTCATTGGACAAAGTTCTTTGTCTCACAGACTCCTATGTGTACCACTCACTCTTTTTCCGCATAATTATATGATTCAACCTCTTTCTTTCATAGACCCATCCGCTGACCACGTCCACTCCCAAATATCTGACTACGTCACCTCCTCATACTTCTCTCCCTCCAATCTGATATCCAAATCTTTTCATCACCTAATCTTTTTGTTATCATCATACCTTACTCTTTCTTATTCACTTTTAATATTTCTTCTTTTGCACACCCTACCAAATTCATCCACCAATCTCTGCAACTGCTCTTCAGAATCTCCAAGAGCACAGTGTCATAAGCAAGAGCAGCTGTGACAACTCCCACTTTGTGTGTGATTCTTTAACCTTTTAACTCACGGCCCTCTTGCCAAGACCCTCGCATTTACTTCTCTTACAACCCCAATCTATAAATATATTAAACAACCACGGTGACATCACACATCCTTGTTCTAAGGCCTACTTTTACTGGGAAAAATTTTCCCTTTTTGCTTACCATCTCTGCCTTGAGCCTCAAGATCCCTCGTTTATTAAACTCTTCACTCTGCTTTCTGTAACCTACTCCTTTCCTTCACTTGCAACTTCTGCCTCATTTGCCCCCCTATCCAACCTGTCATACGCCTTTTCCTACATCCCTTAAATTGCCACAAAGACCTCTTTAGCCTTTATCTAAAAACTGTTCACTTTATATGTTTTCACTGTAAAACACCTGTCCACACACCCCCTTCCCTTTCCTGTAAGCCTCCTTGTTCATCTGCTTTCTATTCTCCGTCTTATACTCTTAATTCTTTCAATTATACAATTCCATTTACACTTTACCAGGTTTTATCACAGATTATCCCCTATAATTTTTGCACTCTGTCTTTTATACCCTTTGCCTTTTATACAAAGGAACTATGCATGCTCTCTGCCTATACCCTAGGTACCTTACGCTCTTCCATACATTATTAAATAATTTGCACCAACCACTCCAAAACTATATCCCCACCTGCTTTTACATTTCTATCTTTATCCTATCAATCCCGGCATCTGCCTTACCCCTATCATTTTACTCTGCCTCACGAACTTCCTCCCACACTCACAACTGGCTCTTCCTCACTCCTTTACAAGATGTTATTCCTCCTAGCCTATACACGAATCACAGCTTCCCTATTCTCATCAACATTTTAACATACCTCAATATTTTCCCTCCTCTTCCCAATTACCTCTAACTCTTATTTAATACTCTCCTCTCATATTTTTAAACTGACAATCCATTTTGGGGTGAATGGAGACGAATGATACTTGGAACCTGACGTCTGTTGGAGTGTGAGCAGGGTAATTATATAGTGAGAAGGGATTTCAGGGGAGGTAACCGAATTATTTTCTTATTTCGGACTTGAGTCTGGAAATGGGAGTACAATGCCTGCACTCTTTAAAGGAGGGGGTTTGGTGATTTATGGCGGTTTGGAGGGAGTATGTTGTGTATCTTTTATCGTATATTGTTCTAAACTGTTGTATTTGAGCACCTCTGCAAAAGCATGTGTTAATGTGTGTGTGTGTGAAAGTGGCTTGTAATTGATGATGAATAGTATTTTCCTTTTTGGGGAATTTCTTTCTTTTTTGGGTCACCCTGCCTCGGTGGGAGACGACCAAACTGTGTTGAATAAAAAAAAAAAAAAATCCATTTGATTCTCTAGGCTTTCTTAACTTGTTAATTCATAGTCTCCAAAACTTTTTCTTATTTTCAACAAAAATTTGTTGATAAACATCTCACCACTCTTCATGTGCTCTCTTTTTTACATTTGCTTCACACTCTCTTAACCTCTTCTTTTTTCTCCTATACTCTTCCCTCTTGCATCACTTCTCTTGTTAAAAAACTTTCATATGCTAACTTTTCTCCCTTACTACTCTCTTTACATCATCATTCACAATCGTCCTCTCTCTCCTGCACCCACTTTTCCTGTAAACCACAAACTCTGCTGAACATCTAACAACTACATTTTTTTAATCTTCCCCATTTCCTCTTCGACCCATTGCCATGCTCTCATTAGCCCATCTATCCTCCAATAGCTGTTTATATCTTTACCCTAACTGCCTCCTTTTTAGTTTATATATAAACCTTCACCGTCTCTCTTCCTGATGTTTCTATTCTCCTTGATATCCCATCTACCTTTACTACTCAGTGTAGCTACATCTAGAAAGTGATCTGATATATTGTGGCCCCTCTATTAACATGTACATCCTGAAGTTACTCAACAGTCTTTTCCTCTACCATACATTAATCCAACAAATACTGTCATTTCGCCCTAAATCATATTTGTTTTAACTTATTGATACTCTTTTCTAATAGATGTACTACTTATAATACTAAAACCCTTTCTATACAAAGTTAATTCAAGGGTCTCCATTATCATTACACCTGGCACCCCAAATTACTACCACACCCTCTCTAAAAGTTTTCTCCTTACTTTAGCTTTTCAGGTCCCCTATTACAAATACTCTCTCACTTGGTTCAAAGGCTCCTATACATTCACTTAACATCTCCCAAAATCTCTCTTTCCTCTGCATTCCTCTTCTTCTCCAGGTGCATACACGCTTATTTTGACCCACTTCTCGCATCCCAACCTTTACTTTAATCCACATAATTACTTGGAATTTACTCATTTATTTCTCTTTTCACCTTCCATAAATCGATCATATAAACATTACTGCTACCTTCCTGTTGCTCTATCCTCTCTCAGATACGCCAGATTTAATCCCATTTATTTCCCCCACTGAAAACTCTCCTGCCCCCTTCAGCTTTGTTTCGCTTAGGGCCAGGACATCAACTTCTTTTCATCTTAAACATCAGCAATCATCTGTTTCTTGTTTCATGCCGCACTACATCACGCGCATTTAAGGCATCCAGTTTTATAAAGTTTTTCTTTCTTCTCTTTTTTTAGTAATTGTCTACTGGAGAGGGTTTACCAAGCCATTGCTCCGGGATTTTAGTCGCATCATACGACACGCATGGCTTAGGAAGGAAAGATTCTTTATCCACTTCCCCATGGACCAATAGAAGAAATAAAGAAGAACAAGAGCTATTTAGAAAAAGGAGGAAAAACTAGATGTATGTAATATATATATATGCATGTGCATTGTCTGTGAAGTGTGACCAAAGTGTAAGTAGGAGTAGCAAGATATCCCTGTTATCTAGCGTGTTTATGAGACAGAATAATAATAATGATTATTAATATTATTATTAATTTAGGGCACTGGAGCACAGATCCGCTGTATAGCACTTTGTCTGGATATTTTGGGTTATCCTAGGTA